TAGACCCTGAATTTCTTAAGGGAGCATATAACCGCTAGAGTCTCGAGTTCATAAGAATGAAATATCTTTTCTTCGGGGGAAGTCTGTCGGCTATAATATGCAACAGGCTTTAAATCATTGCTACCTTGAACACGTTGCAACAGCATACTCCCTACTCCTACTTTACTAGCATCCGTGTGGAGCTCCAGTTCTGCATTCTGGTTGAATATGGCCAAAATCGGCCTATTAATTAGACTCTTTTTCAAGGCCAGGAAAGCAGTTTCCTGAGCATCTGACCATTCCCAAGCAGCGTCCTTCCTTAGTAATTTATTCAAGGGATGTGCAATCATCGCAAACCCTTTGACAAACTTTCTGAAATAGCTCACCAAGCCCAAGAATTGTCGCACGCCATGTACATTTTCCGGACGCGGAAAGTCCTTGACGCTATCTACCTTGGACGCGCCCGGCTTTACGCCAGTAGCACTAACTTCGTAACCGAGATAGTCGATCTTATTTTGAAGGAAACTACACTTTAACAAATTGAGTGTCAAGTTGGCGTCTTCGATCATTCTCATAATGTCCTCCAATCTATTCAAACATTGTATTGCGGTTTCACCGTAAACCAACAAATCGTCAATATAGACGGTAGCTATACTATAACGCGCCGACCCAAGGATGCCGTTCATCATACGTTGAAATACTGCTGGTGCATTTGCCAACCCAAATGGCATACGATTAAACTCGTATTGCCCATCGGGTGTGACGAACGCAGTGTAGCGTTTGCTACTCTCGGCAATAGGTACTTGATAATATCCAGACATGAGGTCTAGAGTAATGAACCACGCCTGGCCTGATAGCCGTGCAATTTCATCCTCTATGACTGGCATAGGGTATCTCTCCTTCAAGGTAATAGAGTTGAGCATTCTGTAGTCGACGCACATTCTAGTATTCAAGTCCTTTTTGCGCACTAGAATAATGGGGCTAGCATATTCTGACACCGACTCCCTGATGATCCCGGTTTCTAGCATTTCGTTAACCATGCCACGTACTTTATCTCTTTCAAAGTGAGAAAGTCTATAGGGTCGATAAACTACAGGTTTTTGACTATTGAGCTCAATGTTCATCTCCGTAGCATGACTACAACCCAGTTCACGCAAGGATGACGCAAAACAGTGCTTATAACGTTGCAACAAATCAAACAATTGGCGCTTCACTTCCTCAGGTACGTCTTGTCCGAGTCGAACTTGGCTCAGATCAATAGTTCTGTCTGCAGGGACAATCTTGCCGCCATGATCTGAAACTGGCTCAGAGGTCACAGTGGTCACGGTACTCACAACCTTAACCTTTTCGACCCTACAGATGACGGCATTTCCTCGCAGAAAGCAGGGTATGGTATTCGGCGTGATTGTCACAAATAGCTGGCCATGTCGTACTGGGTGTACGCCTCCACCAACCAGGAACTGATTATTTGGAATACCAACCCATTTATTATTTACCAAAACGTCACCATCGTACGTTGATTCCGTGCACGCCTTCACGCTAGCAGTCCCCGATAGCGTAACGTGACCGGCGACTATACCCTTGAGGCATTGATCGTGGCCCCCATCGGGGTCCAACTGGGGTAGCTCAGTACCAACGTCAAGAAATCTAAGGCTAGTAGAATCCTTAATTACTATAATGTGTGGTTGTTCTGTGTACGACTGACCGATCAACAGAGGTTTGTCCAAGAATTGATCATCTACCACTCTACATATGACATCAGCACTAACATCATCGATCTTTAAATTAAGCACTATGCTCCCAGGCGAATGCACCAACTCGTTACCAAAACCTTTCATAACGGTTGGTACATTGTCATGGGTGCTTCTTATTTTGTCTGCTATAGACCTTTTAATAAGGGTTACCTCGCTCCCAAAATCCACAAACGATTCCAAGATGGTACCATCAATGTGCACTACTTTTGTGAATTTCGCATTGGGGCTGGAACCTGTGATACACATAGTTTTATGAACATTTTCAGAGGAGTTAGAAGTCACCCCAGTCCTTTTGAAGCAGTCTTCTGGTTTATGGCCTATCCTATTACACTTACTACATTTTAGTAATGGCTTTGGACATTGTAAGTATGGATGTCCTCGTTCTTTACAATTAAAGCAGTAAATTCCTTGAGTTGGCTTTTTCTTTGGGTTAGGCGCAAAATTTGAATTGTTAATGCTATCTGTCATGTTCCTATGTCTTACATGAAGGGATTGATATTGACCTATCGTATCTCTATTGCTCATTAAAAATTGTAAGAGCTGCTCTGGGTGCGAACAGCGCAATGCCAAGGCACTAGATTTCATTGTTCTATCACTGATTCCATGTATGATGCAATCGACAGCGTTTTTACCAGAAATGTTACACAGGTTCAATAGTGCTAATTTTTCATAATAATAAGTTTCAATAGGTTCACCGAATTTGGTTTTTCGTTTCAACATATCTTCCAAGCATTGGCCATAGTTATGCTCGTGAGGAAACGCGTTAATTAATTTTTCTTGCCACTCTGGCCAAGTAAACAAAATCGTATCTAAACTTTCAAACCACGTCTTGGCCAATCCTTGTAGTTTCTGAAGCGAGAAATGAATGGTGGTCCTTTCATCCCACCCGTATACCGCAGCGCATTCATTTACCTTTTTTAGCCAAATATTCATTCGCTGGTTTTTACCGGCAGGATCAAAATTGGGTAAGATATTTTTATGATCTATGCTTTTATTAATTTTAGGAGTATCCTGCGGTAATAGTTCAGATGCAGACCCCCGTTTTATAGATTGTAATATTTTAATAACATCGTTAGCAGTAAAAGAAGGGCTACGTGACCTGTTTAGTGAAGTGCGATGTCCATTCTCGGGCCTTTCGTCCGCTCGATGCGCTGCCGAGGCCGTATCGCTTATTTGTGGTGACACCGCCAGCGGTCTTTCCGTCGATATTTGCCGGGAGCTCCTTTCGCGTTCTCTCAAACTCTCCCGCTCTTGTTGTAGCTCTTGTTCTAGCCTGTGGACCCGTTCTCGATCTCTGTCCAGCTCACTAACACAGCTCCGTCGGTGACGACTGCGACTGCGAGTGCGAGTGTAAGCCCGAATAGGGTCCACTTCTCGACTTCGCATACGACTACGTGATGGTGTTTTTAATATTCGTTCACCCTCCTTATTCATTTTTCTAAAAGTGAGCTACCGATCCCACTTCTGAGATGTAATAGAAAACCTCCACTTTGACCGTCCCAACTCGACTGCCCCGTTCTCCATTCCATTTTATTTCTCTCCCTTCCAATCCCCACTATTGTCATCCACTTCCCCTGTCAATGTTGCCATGTTAAAAATATAACTCCCAAGTCAACTATAATCGATTAATCAGGGAAGTCGATGACTCAAGTGACGGCATTGGCTGTAAAATATTATGTTAGTATTTAAATAAATACTAACATAATATCCCAAAGAGACATTTTATATTAAGAAATTATTACCTAACCTTACAATATTATATCTTATATTTTGATTAGGAATTTTATTGAGAATAGGTAAATTAAAGTTACTAGGTAAAGTTTTTGATTTAATTATTTAGAAAAAGTAGCACATTTTATTAGCTTTATTGTGATTTTAGGAGGGGAGTTTTTGATTGATGTTTTTTTTTTAAATTGGTTCAATATTTTTTTTTATAAAATTGTTTATTTTTCCATTTTTAGTGTAAATAATCATAGGTACGTAGAAGTTTGAACTACTTCATATAAGTCGCGAGAGGCAGCAACCTACGGAAAACGACCACCTTCAAATGTTTTTCCTGCTGATGCGAATAACTGTGGTTTGATGCGCGTATTGAAACTGGGCATAGGCTCCAGAGTTATGTTGAGACGCAACATTTCTGTTACTAAAGGCCTGGTCCAAATATCTTATCCAAGTTTAAATGGCCTGCCCTTCGCCGTGATCAAATAGAACCAGGCGAGTTACCCGAACCAGTTTTTATAAAATACTTGCTATACCCTGCCATGATTCACTGGCGCACATTGTGGTAGCTAAAAATAGACAAAAACCATATTTGAAGCTTGTTGTATATTGTGTCAAAGTTTGAACTCAATTGGTGCTGGACTTTTTTAAGTTTACACAAAGCAACAACATTTTTGTATACTTATATAAATTACATATGTATGGATGATGACGACTCTATTGCCACATTACACACTGCCTGTCTGTCCGTCTGTCACCACACTGTATCTCATGAACCGTGACAGTTAGACAGTTGAAATGTTCACAGATTATGTATTTCTGTTGCTGCTGTAACAACAAATACTAAAAACAGAATAAAATAAACACTAGTATTTACTCCCATATAACAAACGTGTTTTTTTTGCCGTTTTATAGATAATGGTACGGAACCCTTCGTGAGCGAGTCTGACTCTCACTTGGCCAGTTCTTTAATGTTCTTTACCGCTAATGTTAGTTCGTTTGTAAACTAAATTTTATTTTAGTAATTATTCATATTTCTGATTTGTTTATACAATATTAAATTATAAATTATGTAAATTTCAAATCAGTGTGGGTTACATTAGCCTCAACCATAGTTTTTCTATAGTGTTTAAAAATGATGGATGTTTAGCACTTGGGTTTCGGAAAGGATGTGTTTTGTTCAAAGCAAAAAGTGTTTTTTAGCAAACCTAGAACTACACGATATTCTTTGGAAGACCCATGTTGCCGCACTTGCGGGCTGGCTCGACGAGAGTGATTCCATGGCAATACTTTTGTTTTTGCACCGAGTGAAGTTATCAGAGGCCCAACAATGATCCGAATACCGGATGGTAAAATTAAGAGAAAATATTAACATATCAAAAGACAACACAACAAGAACATTTATAACATTTTTCGTGTCCACTTCACATTTTAAAATCAAAGTCTAGTTTTAGTTCACTCACTCATTCATTGAGATCGAATGATTCATTAGAAACACTACTACACTACAAATACTGCAGAATAATAACTATTAAAGGATTTGTCATATTACATTTGTACACTCAACCAGTCGGTCTCGCACTCGTCAATTGTTATACCTAAATTCCAATTTATATTTTAAATTTGTGATTCAAACAAAGTTACAAGGGCAACTCACTCTTTACCCCCTTTTTTTTTCGTGTGGAAATCCCCTCGGATACCACCTATCAGTGGCATGTCGGACTCGAACCGACTAAAACCGCACGCCGTCTCGGGTACTAATAGCCGGGGAACCAGGTATACCCTAGAAAGGAAGTCCCTGGTGCCCCGCTATACCTCGTGCCATCTACAACAACAGGTAGACGACCCCCCCCCCCCCCCCGTGTGGGAACCCCATGTTCCCTCCCACTCTTTACCCCTTGATATTAAATGGAATTATAAACAATCAATTAGGGCAATATGCCTCAGTCCAACAAATAGATACTATATGTAATTATCAATTTTTATAGCTATGTATATACTACTTCGATTTCATCTTCTTATATATTTACTAACACACCAGCCACTACCCAATACCTCCTCCCCTTCATGTTTTCTCTTCATACCACGGTTGCCTGTAAGAGATTGCCTCTGAGCGATAAGGCCGCCATTTGTACTAACCTAGTTTAAGATAATTATTGTATATTTATATCTGGTGTACAATAAAGGGATACATTATTATTATTACCTACCACAAATAGAGTGAAAGGTGTAAGTAGCCATGTACTTCCACAAAGGCTCCGCTCCGTCGCCGAAGGTTGACTTCACTTGCTTCACCATACTCTCACTTTGTTCAGTGAATACTTTCGCAAACTTGTTCAGGTTGGCTGGGCTGAATATAGGTGCATGGATCTTGCGACGTGGTTTCCAAATAGATACTGAAGGATCAAAATTCAATGATTAGAGTCAATGCGGAAATGTATGGAATCAAGTTCGATTAACCTTTAATGTTGCAAAGTTAAAAAGACCCTATTGACTAATATTTCTTATTAAATAGTTACCTTATTTTGCACTATTAATTGACTCTCCAAGCTAGTCTAGAAAAAAGCGGGGAGACTCCCTCATAAACATTGTTTATTGTGATATTTTGTGCGTTATAAACAAGCGTACCTGGTGCGAATATAAGACCATTTCCAATAAGATTTCTTGCAAAGCGCGTAAGGTTATCCTTCTCCAAAGACCTTTTTAAAATTACTTCTATGTCGACGGCGTCTACTGAAACTGTAAAAAAACTTTTTTTATACGAAAAAAAAATGTAACTAATCGATAAAAAGTAACTGTTCAGACATACCTGCGTAAAATTTTGATCCTATCCATACATGTGTAATACCTCCGTTCTTAAGAGCATCACGTCCAAAACTTTGTATTGCTTTCATACGCACTAAAACAAAATATATTAACATATGAAAACACATCATGCTTAAACGACGAATTTCTAAAGTACTACCACAAATACATATCTGATATATAATGATAAAATCTACATTTTTTCAATTTATAAGAATCTGTAGTTTTCTATTTAGCTTTCTTATTCTCTTCTTTATTAGTTTGGCATCAAGCACGATAGCCCCATAAGATTAGGTCTCGGACTGCAGATTTACTAACCCATGCATTATCCGAAATGCCACTAACTCTCGTCAATGACACCCTGCTCCACTTGGGTAGACATGACTGTCTGCAATAAAATTGAGCAAATCCAGCGTCTCTCTGATTAAGCAGGGCATGATGAAATCAAAGACAAAGCTTTAAAATCATTGGCGATGTCAACATCACTTCTGGGATACTGCTCTCTCTCTGGCAGAGTGGTGCTCGTTAAGCGTTCCACGATAATTCACACGCCTCGTCTTGCAAGATGTGTTGCAACCATAGACCGATTATCAGTCGGCGAGGCTGTTAGATACCCCTCCTTCCATGATTATCATCAACAGCCTTTAATAGTCCGCTCTTGGACATAGGCCTCTCCTTAGAAGATAGGTTCTGGCCTACAATACCACGCGGTCCAGACGAGTTGATATAGGGCAAACCCTATATCAACCCATCTGAACTGCGCGTAAGGGAAACGAACCCGACACAAATGTCAGCTTACCCTGTGGAGTTCGTATCCCTCACACCGACCTGCCGCTAACCCCGGTGGAGTGACGGCCTAAGGGGGTTTAAACACGTTAAGAAAAAACGGCTTGTTTCAGGTTTTCCTTCTCTTTGCAGTGCTGTTGTCCTGCGTAGTTTGCACCCTTAGTCGGCTCTTACGACACCCACAATATGAATAGGGATGGTGACACTCCGTTAATCCATCACCATAAGGATAGATTAGAGTCAAAATTCTAAAAAGAAATACAAAAAATCTTAAACGGCTACAAGAAGCCTCGAGGAGAGAAACCAAGCTCGGCGTGGCACAGTGCTGACGGCCGCCTTCTGCAAAGTATTTTGAGTGGCTGTCCTCCTAGTCCTAGACAGAGGTCACACATTACGTATTAGCATTGTGTTTTTTTGCCGAAAAAACAATTCTGCAGACAACCTTCAACTATATAGATGAATTTAACTTTAAGAACAAACGAAAAATTAACTTTTTACACAAATAACACAAAAAAATTACATAATCTAAATAATTAATCTTAGTTTGTGAAATATTTATACTCTAATTTATGTAGCTATGTTTTACATCCTTTGTTCTTATATTTTTTTTTACTTAAATTATTTATTTGAATGTGCTTATAATAAATGTATGTTATGTATTTTTTTACTTGTTTCAATCAAGGTAGATTAGAAACAAGGTAATAATAGCAGCAGGTATATTAATTACCAAAAAACCCTTACTAAAAAAACCGGTCAGGCGTACCTGACCGGTTATTTTAGTAAGGGTTTTTTCGAAGTCGAACTCGTGCGCCGAAGGTTCCATACCTACCCAGAGTTTACGTAGATTTTCGCGCAAATTTGTAAGTTCCAAAATTTGTCTTCATTTTTAACTTTTTTTCTTTTTTGGAATTATTCCTATATTTATGTACCTTTTGAGGTACGGAACCCTAAAAATAAGAATTGACATAAACATTGAACAACACGGCCAATCACACGAACATTTTGATCCTTGGCCTTGAAACCACCTGCTGCTCAACTCGCAAGCCGCCTCATCCATCCGAGCCTACGCGGTCTTCTATTACAATCTTGGGGTAGGCCAGACAAGACTACGTGGAGTCGGTTTTGCAGCAATTCGTTTCTGTTAAGTCCATTTGTCGTACTACAAAAGCACAAGCTTTTCATAGAAATGGCTTTCTGCCACCTTAAAAATGTGCCATTGTAAATTCGTACGTAATAAACATTCAGCCAAACAATAATTATATTAAAAAAAAATTATGCCTTAATATTATTTCAAGGCTGCGCGGAGCCCAAAATTGATCTAAGTGGCGTGCAATGGGATAGGCCTATGTCCAGCAGTGAACTGCGATAGGATGATGATGATATTATTTTAAATAAGATTATCATTACTATTTTAAAGACAACTCCCGCATTAGGAATATATCCTGTGTCGCGGGGGACTTTACAAACATACATGTAACGGACACAAAGAAACCCATACTCAGAACAACAAATTGTAGATCATACAAAGTGTCGTCCCGTGTAGGGATCGGACCGAATACCGAATAAATTATATTTATTTCTGTAAGTAAATGTTTTCAGATATTTTTACAAGTCGGACTCTATAGCCAGAAGGAGCTGGCATTTCCTAAGACTCACTCGGGGAAGAAATGCCGAAACAAACCACAGAGGTGTTTTTTTTTTAAGTCCGTAAACAAAGTTAAATAAAACTGTGCGAGTACAGGTATAGGGTCTGAATAGGCCTTTTGAGGAAAGGACCATAGTTTTGAGTCAGCCTGTCCATACAGACGGCATACAGGCTCCAGCCATCGTGTAGCCTAACCGATATTGGTCAAGATCAAGGACCCGAAGCATGACACTACTACCAGCAGGACATTTGGGTAGGCCGTGGAAACACTCAAAACCACCAGAAAGATAATAAAATATGAATTAATGTTACAAGCCTACACTATACTCACATTTACATATTTACACAAAAAATAAAAAAATACTATACAATTCAAGTTCAACGAATAATAAAATACGAAAACAAAATGCGAAATAATCTGTAATAGTGTAGTAAGCCTTTTCACACAGTTTTAGCTTTACTAAACACTTAAATTTGTTAATACTTAATTCATGGAATTCGCTTGGCACTTTATTGTAAAATCGCACAACCTGACAACGAAAAGACTTGCTTACTTTTTGTAGTCTAGTGGTTGGTAACACGAGTGTATCTTTATTTCTAGTGTTTGTTTTATGAATGTCGCTAAACTTTGTGAATAAATGATTATTTTTCTTTACATACACTAAATTTTCTTATATGTATTGAGATGCAACTGTCATGATACCAATTTCTTTAAACTTATCCCTCAGTGACTGCCTATAACTGAGATTATAAATTGCACGAATAGCTCTCTTTTGCCACACAAAGATACTTTGAATGTCAGCTGCATTTCCCCACAACAAAATACCGTATGACATTAAACTATGAAAATAGCTAAAATACACCAGTCTCGCTGATTCTACATCGGTTAATTGACGAATTTTATAAACCGCGTATGCTGCAGAGCTGAGTCTATTCGACAATCCGTCAATGTGTGGGCCCCATTGCAATTTAGAGTCTAGTGTTATATCTAAAAACTTGGTGGTGTCCACAAGATCCAACTCCTTTCCATTTATTAGAACATTGGTCTTTACCTGCGTAACATTAGGTGTAAAAAATCTAATACATTTCGTTTTATTCTCGTTTAAAAGTAAATTATCAACATTAAACCAGTTTACAATCTTAAAAAGAGTGCTATTCACGTCATCAGTTACTGATTGCTTTCGTTTAAGTTTAAATAAAAGTGAAGTGTCATCCGCAAATAGTACTATCTCCTGATTATCATTTATCACATTAGGTAGGTCATTTATGTAAACAAGAAATAAAAATGGGCCGAGAATTGAGCCCTGCGGAACCCTCATAGTGACCAGAGACCCCAGGGATCTCTGTCCATTAACTTCCACTCTCTGGATCCTATTACCCAAATTAGAGATAAGAAGATCCAAAGCAGTGTTCCTAATTCCATAGTAATGCAATTTCCTGATTAATGTTTCATGAAAAAGGCAGTCGAATGCTTTAGATAAATCACAAAAAACACCCAGGGCATCCTGTTTATCATCCCAGGCACTAAATATTATTATATATATTTCCAATAATCTTTAATCTTAAACCTGTACGCCATCCGTGCAGTCATTTATTATAAAAGCAATAGATACCTTTATTTGAAAATCGGTCCACAATTGACGGAGATATAGAATAAAAATACAAAATATAGATAAATATTAAAAAAAATACAGTCGAATTGAAAACCTCTTCTTGGGTGGGTTTTTGAATTCGGTTAAAAAAGTGCAAATGTAAAGAATGAATATTTTTTGCTACTTACTGACTCCATTGCCAGCTAACAAATGTGCATGCCCTATCAGGGGGTAACTCTTTATTCCACATTTTAATTCTTTGGATAGCTCCACAAATTTCTGTATCTTCCATCGCCTCACTACAAGGAATATTATCAAAACTATTGACAATAGCCACAACATAGCTGAAGGATAGTTCAACACACAGTGTGACAGCGAAATCTCTACATCTGTTTTTATACCTTTATACTTGTTGAATTAATCGTAAAGATGTAACAAATTTACGTGTGACTTGGCAATCGCACTAAACAATCTTAGTTAATACTAGCTGGTACCCGCGACTTCATTCGCGTGGAATTTGAAAAATGCTTCGGCGGGTACGATGCCAAAAAAAAATGAAAAATTTAAAGGGTTTTTCTGAGAGCACAAATAGCCTAAGTTATTTCTTATGTAGACAGCTACCTGGTAGTAAAATATTATCGAAATCGGTCCAGCCGTTTAGAAGATTACCCGGAACAAACAGACAGACAGACAAAAAAAAATTGAACTGTAAAAGTATAGATAATATGTTTAATATTAAAAAACAATGTACATTGTGTTTTCATGCGATGGCCAAGTCAATCTATTTTATTTAAAACATAAAAGATGTTTAAAATTGATATGGTCACAATATGATGTTGTTAGGTTAGTTAATTACGTAATAACTTAAGACAGAAGGTCCCTTAAGTAGGGACGTAATAAAGTAAACGACTTGGTATTACATGGATCTCACAATTTTTACGGTAGAAGAACTGAGTTGTGAGACTTGGTTTTGTTTACAAGTTTTGTTTTTGATGGCATATCATTTCATTTTGTAGATACTCGTACTTTTTTCCTTTTCGATACCTTCTACTTCTTGAATAAAAACAACGGATTTTCTTAAAGCCCAAATGAGTAAGCCTACCAATCTTCAAAGTAATAATAGATAGCAATCGAAATTATAAACAAAAATCGCAAACTTGAAGTAAGATTACAACGTATTAATAATATACCTTAAAATTATCAGAACAACGTCCAAATCGTAAGCAAATAATATCAGTAAACCAATGAGTCCTTCTTAATCCTTTCAGTCGTCAAACTTTTAATAGCAATTATAAATTATAAACGAAAATCGCAAAGAACAATGGCAGAAACATATTTACCTAAAACTGAAGCGTTTAAAAAATTGACTAACAGGAAACTTAATAAATATTTTTTCTATGATTTATCATTATATGTGTTGTATAAGTCTTATATTTTTAAAGTTTTTATTTGACCTAAGTACGTAATGTCAGAATCGCCATCACGTATAACTGACTAGGGATGCGTGATGGCATTTTTATATTATTGAACGTTTTATCGATAATCGATTGTTATAACTTTGGCTTAAATATCTATCGAAGGGTCACCTATTACGATTATGAATTTGCTTCTGCCTTCTGACTCTTTTTAAAAGATTCTTGCTACACCAAATAAATAGAATATATGTAGTTATTTTCCTACGGAAAAATCCTAAAACAATATACTGCTCAGTGTGATGAGAAAAAGCCATTGTAGTTTGTTTGGTTGTTTTATTTTTGTTTAGTATTAAACTCTCATAGATGTTTTTCTATTTTTAATTTCATATAATGGATGCATACTTTAGATTTTAGTAAATAATGTCACGACTACTGGCTGTCAAATAACTAAATAAATCAATAAATGCTTCCGCCTTGTGTAAATGTGTATTGAAGTACATTTATTCAAATTATTATTAATAATTTATTTATTTATAGCTAGTATTACACCTGCTTGGTAAGCGAAGATTTTTTCTATTGTTTACCAATACATGCCAAGAAAGTAACTTTCACCCTTTTAGAGAGTCGGCTAACACTTTCTACAGCAAAATAGGGTTGCTTATGAGTAATAATAATGATATTAATATTTTCGAATATATGACACACAACGCCATCTAGTGTCAAACAAAACATTGACAATATTTCAGTACTTAACCTCGAAATATTCAAAATCCAATATCTTTTTTCCTAGACTTCTTTCGCTAGTAATTTTGTTATGAGAATGTTCAAGAATAAATTCTCAAGGGTTATAGGCATTTTTGATATTTAAACGCTGTCATTTCACTTCAAATAAAATTATGTATGGGAACCTGCCATTGTCCTCTAAGGTACGATTACAACGTATTAATATACCTTAACATTATCTACAAGTGACCTTGTAATTCTTTCTTTTTTGAACCAACTGACAATAAATAAATATAAAACATCATACTGACGCTTAAACACGACAGTTCACCAAGTCTGGATGGTATAAATGGCTTGTTTATAAAAATGGCCAAGGATCATATTATAGATCCCTTAAAGTCTATAAACCAGAGTCTCTCAACAGGGATCGTGCCACAGGACTGGAAGACCGCAGCCATAGTACCAATCCATAAAGGAGATAAAACCAACTTGCCGAGCAATTACCGACCTATATCTCTAATACCGATATTTTCAAAGATCTTAGAAAGGATTGTAAATAGACGGCTTGTGAAATATCTGGAAGTAACTAATATACTTGCCCACAATCAGTTTGGTTTCCGTAAGTGAAAATCCACTGAAATGCAGTGTTGCTACTTACTGAAGAAATTGTATCTCACCTTGATAATGGGCGTGCATGTATTGGGGTCTTTCTTGACATAACTAAAGCCTTTGATACTGTGGTCATTCCAATATTATTGCGAAAATTAGAAGGTATTGGAATACGAGGTGTGGCACTGGACTGGTTTCGAAGTTATTTTACTGGGAGAAGACATCAAGTTAAGGTGGATTCCTTGTTTAACAGTCCCGAACAAACTGAGTTTGGAATTCCACAAGGAAGTGTGTTAGGACCGACGCTATTTCTGCTGTACCTGAATGAAAGTCTGCTGTGTGAATGAAAGCTGTCTTGAAAGCAGAGCAAGATATGGCTCTAGTAGCCGAATAGCTTAATAACAACCTGTTAATGTTAATTAACAGTAAATCAAAGTTTCTTTGTTTCCACAAAACTAGTGCTTCATCTCCTGTATGCTCCACTTCGTGACGTTGCTAATATCGAGATTCTTAAAACGGTATACATTTCGCTCTGCCAATCGATACTAATGTATTGTATAAGCGTCTGGGGAGGTGCAGTAACATCACATCTAATACAACTGGAGAGGGCACAGAGATCGATAATCAAAGTTATGCTCAAGAAACCTATTAAATTTCCAACAGTTGAACTCTTTAAAACTACCGGCCACTAAACATACGCCAACTATACATACTAAAGGCAATTACCACCACACATAAGATGGTCCTTATCTCCCCTAACTACAATATGATCTTAAACACGAGGGTCTTCAAGCTCCCTGTTACAAAATGCAAGACTTCATTCGCCAAGAGATTTCAGAAATATATGTTCTCTTGTTTATACAACAAATTAGCAAAAAAATGTGATCTTAGAAACTTCTCTACGCGTGAAGCCCGTTTAATAGTTGAAAGAGGTCTCAACAGTTTAAATTACCATGACACGGAACAGCTTCTAAAAGCTATCGCTTGACGTGTCGCACCAGGTGTCCCCTTTTTATTTGTACCAATACTCCAGCCTTACATATAAATACACATATATGCACACACACACTCATGCACACACTTACTCACACTCTCACAAACACTCATTCACTCACACTCTCACACACATACTCATATGCAGCTATCTATTTTTATTTTTGTTATTTAAATGTGAATTCTTTTGGGATAGTTTAAGTCCTAGGCGTTAGTTAATCGTATTCATTGGTAGCTACGATACAGCCTGCGCCTAGTGTGGCTATCATAGGTAATGTAACAATTGTGTAACATCTTAACGATAAATAAATGCTTATTATTATTATTATTATGATACACCATCTCCTTTTCGATCAATAAAGAAAACAGTCTACTTTAAAAATTTGCATTTAGCATAATTTATAAGTGAACTCCAAAAAAAATAATACTCGACCACTTCAGATATTAATTGACTAAATTATTGTATGATCTATTATACTAAATTATTACCAATCATTACCAAAATTGTCGACGCTTCCTAAAAACAAAAAAATCATCACCAGTAAGAACTGGTGATATTAAAATTACAGCCATTGTAAAATCATCAATACCAGTACGGTACTGATGATTTCACGATAGCTGTAAAACGTCGACATGACACAGATGTATCTGCAGACCTTATTTCCCTTCAAAAAAATCGTTTAAAGAAGATTTTGCCAATATTATTTATGCGAAATAAATTTCGGAGCATCAAGATTCTGCCAGATAGAGGAAACCCATCCCTAATGCTATCTCTACTGGAGCTTAGTCTATGAAGATAATACTGCGTTTTTAATCTCTTAATAATACGATTACACATATTTCTGATATACACTTTTAAGTGTTAAATCATTAGGTGTCATAACTGTGGCTTTGGGTAACTTATCTCTTTTCCTTATGCATTTGACTATTCCTTTTGTAATCAATGGTTTTAGAGGACAAACCAATTGCTGCAATTGAAGTCATAATGACCTTGACTGGCTAAGGCAAGCAAAATATTTAGTAGCTTACAAAACAACCTAGACATAATAAAAACTCAAAATATAGAATTACAGGCTACGGTAAATTTCTTAAGTAGCAAATATGATGATGTGTTGGAAAAGTTATTTGGAGCATGAAAGAAATAGTGCATTAGGTATACCCTACTTGAACCTACCCTTTGGACATTGGAGGAAAAAGTGGAAAGCTTAGAAAATGCCTAGAAATTCGCATGGTTCCCAAAACATCTGGTGATAGTCATAAGCGTTGTTAAGGAGGGTCTAATAAACATTGTTAAGACTCTAGGAATCGCTGTCAACAACGAAATACACGGTCATGAGGTAAGAGATATGTAACAGTTGAATTTTCGTCAGTAATAATAAGTGATAAACTGCTTACAAACTTTAAACAGTACAACAGGGAAAATAGGACCAACGGACTTAGTACCTCACACATTTATTTCACTAGTATTTATCTCAGAAAGTCTTACAACTAAAGTTAAGATACGGTATTATATAGCCAGGCAATTTCCTAAACGAAACGACTATGCCTATCACTAAACACCACATGGTAAACTATTCATTAAAAAGAGAGAACGAGCGACCGCAAGGAGAATAGATCAAGAATATGATTTTAAATTCTTAGAAAATTTTTATTTCTTTAAATTTCTGCCTCAATGAACAACGATTGTCTAAATTATAAAGTGCTCGAAATGCTCTCTTTAGCAGTACAAAAGAGAGCATGCAATTACACTACTATTACTTATATACACGGCAAATAAAATTACTTCCTACAGTGATGATATGATAATTCTAAAATATATATAAGTGTCCATTCACCTACTTTGCAGGAGTTAAATAATATTATTTTACACGGGGGTCCTAATTTGAAGTCACTAAAATTTATAATCAAAATTCGATTACAACAATAATTTGACTATAACAGAAAAGGTGGATAGGTCTGGTCAGATTCAATGAATATCCGTCAGTGATACATGATGATACAGTCTTTGTTCAAAACTAATTGAGTATAATCCTAATACCCACCCAATAACAATACATATTGTCAACATTAAAACGACGGCCTTTTGGTCTAGTGGTTAGTGACCCTGACTGCTAAGCCGGAGGCCGTGGGTTCGATTCCCACCCAGGACAAATAATTGTGTGGTGAGCACGATGATTTATTCTGTGTCTGGCTGTAATTTATCTATGACATGTATCTACAAGTATATAAGTATGTATGTTTATCAGCAGTCTGGTTACCACAGTACAGGCTCTGCCTAGTTTGCCTAGTTTGTTGTGTGTGAGATGCGTCAAGCTATTATTAGAAGTATTACCTAATTGTAACTTCGATCATATAGTAGCCTTCATTTCCGCCCTAAACATGCAGAAAAATGTTGTTGTATTATTTGAGTGTTGGAGAAGCTTAAATAACCCACCTTCCGATATGACTGATTACAATAAATACTGGACTAAAAACACCCTTCACCAAAACGACGGAGTAGTACACGTTCAAACGAGATCGTGTCTCGGTCTCTTCAGCTTGTCATTATTGCAGGTAATTGTCTTGTTGTCACTCTTGAGCCAGCCTATACAATCGTTTGCTCCTATCGCCTACCATGTTATAAAAACCTTGCACCCTACTTAGCACCACACGATAAAGTTCTACGTCATACACATTCAAGGAACATCATTTTTACCGGAGACATAAATATCCACACAATACCTGAAACTTATCTGCGGCAAACCAACAGTATCTAAACTTGATTGCCATGCACTGACGAAAACAGGGTATTAACTAACCCTCACGAATAAAGAAGTGTATTGATCATTTCATGATGCAATGCTCATATCGTTGGACAACCGTCGTATTTAAACAGCCGATAACGGACCACTCTCCTATACTTTTATACATCAATAACTCTAAAATTGCAAAAAAGAATGTCGTACACAATAAAGCTTCAGTAGACTATAAATTAATTAAAGATACTCTCACCAAGGAATCCTGGGATAGCCTCTATACCACTAATGATGTTAAAATGGAATAATTTTATTAGGTATATTGCCTTAAAGTAGCATTTATAACCTTAAATTAAATTATTATTTTAAAATGTCAAAACTTCACTGAATGTAGTAAACACATACTTTACTGAAGTAGGATGCACATTAGCTACTAAATTGCTTCATCGACAGCCTTTCACAGTCCACTGTTGGACATAGGCCTCTCCTTATAAAGGCGGTTTTGGCCTACTATACCGCGCTGGCCAGACGGGTTAGTAAAGGGTTTGTGTCAAGTTTTCCTTCTCTCTGCAGTACTGTTATCTTGCGTAGTCTGCTCCCTTAGTCGCCTCTTATGACACCCACGGGATGAATAGGAGTGGCGACACTCTGTATTCTTAATCCGTCCCCACATTAAATTGCTTAATTAAATGAATTTATTGGAAAAGGAATTATCACGCAACGCCCACAAAGTTAATAAATTTTGATTGGATCTATGTAAAACTGTTATTAACAACTTCCATTTTTAATTGTAATTACTGGGCATGTATTTTATGTGTGTTATTTACTCTAGTTTTTATGAAACAAAACCTCGACAATCGAAAAATGATGTCAGCTTTGCTGACATCAGTCTTCTTAAAAACAACCCAGACACCGGTCCTCTGTCATATACAATTACTTCAACAATTACAATTACTTCTTTAGCCACAACAAAATGATATTTTTATGTGTTTAGAGGTCTACCGTCGTGTTATATATTGTTATTAATAGTGAGGTGTCAAAATATGATATATGAGACTGAACAGCGTAGGCTGCAAACAGAATCAGAATTTCTCCAGCGAGATCTACCACGACTCTGACAGAATCCATATCATCGACTTTAAGTGAAAGCCACCAAAACAGACAATCAAACGTAACAATTACCTATAAAAGTTTGCTCGCTTGATTTTGGAACAATGAGCACTATTTGTCAATATTGCTATGCTTTAAGGTTTCGACTCGAACAGCTAGGATTATGTTGTTTGAATGGAAAGGTAAAGTTATCACAACTAACGACGCCTCCTGAACCACTAAATTCATTACTTTCAGGATAAGAACCTCTATCAAAGCATTACTTGCAGAATATTCCAAATTACAATATTGCGTTCCAAATGAAATCATTCGGTACAAATATAATTAAAGAACGTGGTTTCAATCAAACTTCTTTCACATCTGTTGACATCAATTGGAACATAACCCTACATATATGAAAATTCTATTGAGGCCCATAAATGAAGATTTCTTTGAATATTTTTTTATGTTCAATATTAAAGATTCAAGGACAAATTCCCCAGTATTCAGGAGCATTGTTGCCATCAGTTGATGGCGATTACAAATTTCTTCAAATTTATTTCCTGGGTAATTCTGATGCTGAGGTAAACCAACGCTGTGCTATCAACTGCTCAGGTAGGAGAAAGAGATCATCATACAGCTGCAACAACTCTTACGTGGACATTATTGACTTGCATTCGCAATGACTATTAATAAATCCCAATGCCAATACTTAGAAGCGTGTAAATACGTGGATAAACCTTAAATAGGCGTGTTTTTTTGCGTGGGCAGTTTTATGGTGCGTGCTCAAGAGTCGGCAACCATCGGCTCTATTTGTTCCCTCGCCAGAAAGAAAAACGAAGAAATTGTCGTATGTAAACACATGGTTGCATTGTAAACAGAAGACTTTGTTTCATTTTTTGACATTAAGCACGTAACCTGTAACATTTCCGGTACTTTTTAATTTTGCGGGTTAACAACTTTTGATAATCTACGGTCAATATATGGATTTATTGTTAAATCAACTTTTAAGAATTTACTGGAAGTGTCATATTTCCTTAGTCCTCGACAGTACACCAACCGTGCATAAATAAAATCTTTCAAGTCTTTCAGGAATTTCGAAAATATTCACGATAGTATGTCGGTACGAAGTTCGCCGGGTCAGCTAGTAAATAAATAAACATGTAGTCCTGATCCTCCAAAACTGCCATAAAATACATTAAATTATTATTATTAACTAGTATGAGAATTGAGGGAGTAATGATAAGCCATTTTAATTTTAATTCATTAGAAATAAAACTAAATAGTTTATTTATTTCAACTGTATTCCTCAGATTTGTTATAATCATAATATTATTACAAAACTCTTCGTAGAGCTACTTGTAAAGTGCCGGCTCATTAAAAATATATCTACGGATATATACAGATACGAATACGGATATACGAATACATGTGTCCTTTAAACAACAATTGAAGTATAAAGTGAACAGTAGTTAAGAAGTAAAACACATGACAGATAATCACAAACACAAACGCAGACATGTTTCACGAAACACATACCGCAAACATTTATTTTCTGGTTTGATCTCCTTATAAAAATAATGCCATTTAACTGTTTAACTGATAACTCACTACATTAGATGTTTAATATTCAATTTTAGAATGTATAGTTCACACGTGTGCGTCTACCCGCGTTGGATGTGCTCTCAGTGCGTAAAAATGTCATCGACTACGTTGAAATGTAATGTGTGTAATATTGTGATTGATGAGCTTCTGGCTTATATACAGAACAAAATCTCGGTGTCCGACGAGGAAACCATAGTGAAGATATGTGCATCAACATTTACGAGTGAACAAATAGAAAAATCAAACAAGTTGCTGCTCGAATCCCTACCCGCTGAACTGAGGAAATCAAATAGAAAAGGAAAGGGTAAGGAGAACCGTATATTGACCGATATAATAAGCATATTAAAAGGGACAGACATAGAATTATTGCCAGTGTTTGTAGCACGCGAGTTGGAAAAATTACCACCTCTAACTGTCGATCACTTAGATGTCAGCAAACTCCTTAAAGTTCTGGCTCTAGTGCAAGCCGAGGTTCGACTGATTAAGGAGTCATATGTAACAAGGAGTCAAATAGAAGACTTTAAAAATGAGTGTCATCGTAATATTACGTCGTCT